TAATTACTATTTATGATATAACTTAATTATCTTAGAATTGATAATCAAATAAGGTATAAAAAATGTTAATAACTTATTTTGATACTAATTATTAATTTTGATATAACTTAATTATCTTAAAATTAATAATTAAATAAGAAATAAAACAATCCTATCTAATCTATTTACGCATGTCCAACATACCAAACTCCCCTTAATGATATCAAAAACTGGCATCAATGTTATAACAAGATAACACCCTCCGTCCTTCGTTACTTTTTCACTTTTGAATTGACACATCTATTAAGAAATAATGATTAATATAGTGAGTTTACTATTTTACCCCTATTAATTATGAAGTGAATGAATTAAAAACTTAAGATTTTCAAGAAGTTTTACTTCTTTCAAAGTAATTAATTGAGGGTATAATAGGTAAAAAAAAAGTCCTTTCTTGATTTATAGAAATTGTCAAGTAATTATGAACAACTAAAAAAGAAAAAGTGGACAAGTAATTAGGGACAGAGGAAGTAATCTCTATGGAAGGATCAAATCACTACAACAAAAATAATCTTGAGTAACAATTAATTAATATAATAGTTTTAATTATCATTAAATATGTATATTTAGCTAGTGGCAATAACATTCTTTGTAAATATCCCTAAAATTTATAGTAATATTAAATCTAATGACAATTCATTTATATCGATAAAAAATATAGCTCTTTATCAATTGCTAGTAAAAATCATTTTTAGTAAGTTTATTGTTTCGAGTTGAACTACATAAAGTTTAAGATTATCATATTTTCTTATTAAAGTATTTAGAAAAAATTGAATAAAAAAATTTGAAGTGAAAGGTAGAACTATTTACCTTCCCAAAGATTTATGTTATAAAATGGAACAAAAGAATATTACTCCCTCTCTCAATTGATGTGACTTACTTTCCTTTTTAGTCAATCCCAAAAAGAATAATATATTTTTATATTAAGTAACAATTTAACTATAAAATATTTATTTTACCCTTAATGAAAAATTTTACAGCCACACAAATTTCTATCATTCAGTTTGGACACAAATTTTAAAAGTTTTTCTTTCTTTCTTAAACTCCGTGCCGAGTTAAACTAGCTCACATAAAATGGGACGGATGAAGTATTTTTTATTAAATAAAAGAAAGTTTTAACAGTAACTATCCCTTTCTTGTCCTTTGCGACCTTCTTTTTCATATAGTTAAAATAAAAATGTGATTTAGTTTTACGTGAAAGAAGATTGTTGCACTAATTTCTAAATTGACTACTCCCTAGTTCATTTTTATTTGGTCATAATGAATTATATATTTTTTAAAATAATAAAAAATATATATAATATATATTTTACTGTAATATTCGTATATAGTTTTAATAAACTTGAAAACTAATTTGAAAGATACAATAATAATACTCCATCTGTCCCTAATTACTTGTCCACTTTTCCTTTTTATAGTTGTCCCTAATTACTTGTCCATTTTGACAAATCAAGAAAGGACAATTTTTTTTTACCTATTATACCCTCAATTAAATGACTAATTACTTTGAAAAATACAAAACTTTTCACCCACTTCATAATTAATAGGGGTAAAATAGTAAACTCACTATGTCATTAATTGATTTTTTAATAGATGTGTCAATTCAAAAGTGGACAAGTAATTAGGGACAGAGGGAGTATAATGTTAGATAAAACAAAAAGTTACCTCACATAGCGCCATCAGAAGCGAATGTAAATTATGGTTCAGTATAACTCAATAATTTATATTTAAAATTTTATATTAATATTAAAAATTTATTTTGATATCTATAAATAATTTCATCAAAAACTTAATAAGTAAATTAAATTATGATTTATAATTCATAAATTAAAATTTTTGGCCCAATCTCTAGTGCACGTTGTAATGATAAAGACATATACTAGTTGTTATTATATGTAAATTGGGGTGTTCCAAAGATTTAAGATTTCAATTTCCTCTCCATTCATATGTATTTATTTAATTTCTTAAATAATACTTGTTGGAAAGTGGCTTCTCCCTCTTTCTTATAGGCCTCGTCTCTCTTACACGAGCTAATTAATCCTCCGGGATAATCTTTTACAATACTTTTTTCAAATAAACCTATAGGAACTTCAATCCAAAAAATAAAAATAAAAATGCACAACAAAAGCTTTTTTAAAAAAAGGGGAAAAAATTCTGCTAGTGATTCAAACACGCGAGCACTAGTTCATTCAAGGCGTCTAAAACACATTCAAGATGTCTGAAACCGTTGGGCTATAAGAGCTTATTGTGTCAAGAGTGTTCAAAATATGTTATTTAATCACTTCGTGTATCATTTTTCTTGTATATACGATATTTTTTTTGAACGAAGAATGTCCAATTCATGCACGTCGCTCCGCCCCTGATCATGGGTGTCACATACACTCTCGACCTATGAGGTTCAGTTTCGTCGTTAAGCCTTGACCCATCATTATATAAGAAAGTGTAAGTCTCTGATATTATATTTGTCACGATTTAAACCTATAATCCTTTTGGCCCAATAGACATATTACAAATTTGTCTATCGGGCTACACCATTATCGAGTCCAAAAAGATGCATATCATGTAAATTTTTATTATGCCTTATAAAACTTATCACATTTCTCCCTTATTACGATATGAAATTGAACTAAGATATCATATGTACCCTCTCTTCAAGAAGTTCTCAACCCAAAAGGAAGTGGTCAGTCCTTCTATTAGACTTGTACTTGTCGGTTCATCCTCTGTTATAATGGTTATTTTCTAATTCTATTTTGATCTACAAGTAATGCTCAATAAAAAATTATCCATACCTAACGTTTATATCAAACAAATTAATGTAAGATACTAATTTATATATATATATCGATTATTTAACAATAATTATGTGATGTGTATGTATTCTCATATTAAATTTAACTAACAAGGTTAAATTATCTAATTTATTTAAATATCGAGGGTAGATAAGTTCTTAACAGTACCCTTTTATTAATTAATGAAATCCAATAAAGACTAATACTTCATTTTATTTTATATGATTGTTGTTTGATCAAGTATGAAAATTAACAACAAAATTTGGAAAAAAATCTTGCACATACCAAAGTTATTCTTAGAACTTATAATTTTAAACAAGTTATAATATTACTATGATATAAGATAATTTATTAAGAATAAAATAAAATAAATTGAATTAATAGACAAATGAGGACTAAATTTACTTGTTTTTTATCGAGGTGTCCCATACACACAGAAGGAAAAGAACGGAGCCCGAAAGGGCCGCGCATGCACATGCATATTTAACAGGCGCGCGTGCCTTCTTAATTTTGATTCCTCCGTCTTAAAATATTTATCGTGTTTCTGTTATACGATTTTAAGAAATATGAGTATCAATTACAAGAGATAGCTACTTTTATTTTTATTTACGACTTAAGATATAATTTTCAAATTATTACTAAAAAAATCAGATAAATAAGTAAAAAGAGTTAATTTTATCGTAAACTTCTCAAATGATCAGTATATTTTGAGACATATATTTTTATTAAGGACGACAAGTATTTTGAGACGAATGAATAAATACTCAATTCATCTCTCTAGCTCTTAATTTATTTATTTTTTATTTCTCATATAGTATTAGGTATCGGTATTGGAGTTCGACAATTCGGATTTGGGTCGTACATGGCCCATTTGAGAGAAAACGTTCCCTATCAAGAATTTTCTTATACTCATGACTCGAATCTGAAATCTCTGATTAAGGCAAACACAGTCTTGCAAAACATTCTTTAACTTTTAAAATTTATATAATATTGTTTGGATTTTGATTAATTATTTTTTAAAATTTTGGACACAAAATTCTTTATTTTCAAAAATATTATTTTACATTTAAAAATAACGTAAAGATAATATAAATTAAAAAAAATTAAAATATCTAAAAATTATATGAAAGTTGCGATAAAAATAATCGGTTTATTTTTTTAAATCTGAAGGGTGACTTCCGACTTATAAGTTATAAACAATTTATTTTCTCCAGAAAACGACAACTTCTAAAAAGACAAGTTAGCAACCCAAACAGAAATATATATATATATATATATATATATTTACTTAATACTTAATACCGTGCAAATGAAGCAAAAATATTTTTTGCTTTAGTCTTATATATAAAATTGATAAATCCTCTTAATATAAGAAAATATTATAAGTAGTAAAGTAGCAAAGTGGGTTCAAAATTTACTTTGTCACATATTCAAATTTAGTTGTGACGTTCTATTTTTTTTTTTTAAATTCTCTTATATTATTTTTGAACGGATTATTACGCTTAAGTGATCTGATTATATCTATAAATAAATTATCCATCTATAAAAAAATTAAAACTCATTCTGAATATAATAATAATAATAATTTGGAATGAAGGTAAAAAATAAAATAGCAACAAGCTGACAGAAAGAACATCTAGGGAAGTGAGAAAGAGAAACACCTAAAGCAAAGAACTTTGAAACCCTCAGAATGAAGTGTAATTCTAATTCCTATCTGTCTTCAAACACCAAGCAAAGAATAATAGAAACCACAAACCCCACACCCCTTATCCGACTTCCTCCGTCTCAAAATAAATGTCATTTTAATAAAAGTATTTATTTCAAAATAAGTCCTGCCACTTTTCAAATTCAACAATATGAAACCATTACTTTTGTTTCTATTTATGTTACACCTTTTTGAATTATTGAATTAATATAAAATTTTCTTTGATCATATTTTATATCTTCTAAATATTTTGAATTAAAAATTATTGTGACTTATAATATTTTTACTTAATTTTTTAAAATATTCATATTTATTTGTAAAATTTTCAAAAAAAATTTAAGAGGACATTCGTAAAATTATTTTTTTATTTATGATTTTTCATACAAAATGAAAAGTGATAAGTAATATGAACGAGTATAAAATTTGACATAGAAAAGCTAAAGTTTCAGTCTTTGTATTGGAGACTGGAAACACTCCTCCCATTACCCCACCCCCCATCCCTCAAACCCCACACCAAACTCCATCCTCCAAGAAGCTCATATTTCAGTCTGCCCTCTCTCTACTCAATTAATTCCCTCTTCATTTTTTATTTTTTTTTAAATAATAATTTTTTTTACAAAAGTACTAGTACTACATGTCTTGATCACAACTAAATAGAGTAGTATTTATTTGTCCACAACCCACATGGAGTTAAATTGAAACTCTAAAAAAACAGGTGCACAACCCATTATTCTTGTACATTTTATATTAGCTCATGCCTAGGAGTTGCTGTTAGTCAGACAAAGAGAAGAAGAAGAGAATTATAATTCCATTATAGTATATAGTTTTTTTTTAAAAAAATTTTCTAGAGTTTTGAGAATTCTTGGTATTAGTGAAAAATAGTCATGAACATGTTGTACTAGGCCTTTTGAGATTTTCTTGAATTGTAGCTCAATTGTGTGTGGTGGTAATTATGGATAATTGGTATTTTGTTCATCATTACACAACAAGACAATGCCAATGTTATTGTACAACAACAACAACACAAGAAGAAGATCAAGAATTACAAGAAGAAGAAGAAACAAGAACTTACAATTCCACAAAAATTCATGTTATGGCTTCTAGATATTCCAAGAATATTTCACCAATCATTTACATTTTTGTTTTCTTCCTCTTCTCTGTTTGTCCTGTTTTGTCATCACTAGAACAATTCAACCAAACTTTTAACCCAAGTGATGACATGAAAATCATTAAATCACATCTCATGAAAATCAATAAACCTGCAATCAAGACAATTAAGGTAATTCCCAATTCCATTTTTTTATCTCATCATTTATTGTTTTTTCTTCTTGTATTAATAATAACTCTCTGAATTTTTGTGATGTAGAGTCCTGATGGAGATCTTATAGATTGTGTATTATCACATCAACAACCTGCTTTCGATCATCCTCAGTTAAAAGGCCAAAAACCATTGGTAAACCAATCATCTCTTTTTATTTACTGACTCGACTAATCAAGATTTGCATTGAGTCAAGTCCATAGAGGGTTGAATTTTTCTTGTAGCTCATCTTTTCCATAAAGGGAAACACTTTTTACTTAGAGTTTCTCTATTCTGAAGGCTCGAACTTGAGACTCTTGATTAAGGGTGAAGGAATCTCATTCGTTTCGATATTTTTTAGATTTGTACCGTAGATTTCAAAATGTTTTTTTTATCATAGGAGCTAGCTGAGAGGCCAAGATCATCAGGACACAACATAAATTCAATGGAATTTGAAAATTTTCAACTTTGGAGCATGTCTGGTGAAACATGTCCAGAAGGAACAATTCCAGTTAGAAGAACAAAAGAACAAGACATTCTAAGAGCTAGTTCTATTCGAAGATTTGGTAGAAAAATTAAAAGACCAGTTCGTAGAGACACTACTAGTAATGGCCATGAGGTTTGTTTTTTCCTAATTAAACTTACGTTGTTCAGACTCTTCAAAAATATATTTTAATGCGTGTCGGATCCTCTGAAAGTATAGTGCAGTTTTGAAGGATCTGGCAAGGATGTGATAATATTTTTAAGGAGTCTTGAACAATATTAGAATTAAACATTTTTTGACTTTATTTCAAAATGGATTTATTTTCATATCAAACTATTGTATTTTCAGAATAAAATTTCAAGAACTTTAAGTGATTTTTTTATGAGTTGTTACTTTTAACATTTTTTTGTTATGAAATGCTTTGTCAAGTTACTATTTTTGGTTCATGCCGACTTTCATGTTTTTTTTTTCTTTTTTCCATATTTAGTTTCATTAATTTCATTTCCGTTCATCTTTTTCTATATGCAAATAATAGTCACATAAACTTTTTCATCAAAAATCAAGAATTGCATTTTTAAGATACCCCATTTATTTCTCCTCACAAAATAAAATACTAATTTATTTAAATTATTTTTCCTCTTAATTAATTTTATAAAGCAATTAATAAGCCTTAATTTTTAAAATATTTTTTACCCCCTCTAACATTTTTTTTTTATTTTGGAAAAAACAGCATGCAGTAGGATATGTAACTGGAGATCAATATTATGGTGCAAAAGCAAGTATAAATGTATGGGCACCTAAAGTTACCAATCAATATGAGTTTAGTTTATCACAAATGTGGGTTATTTCTGGTTCATTTGGTGATGATCTTAATACAATTGAAGCTGGTTGGCAGGTATGTTCTTATTTATTTCTTGACTTTATATTATGTGTGTGCTCCGCGCACGATAAATAAATACTTTTTCATATCAAGTCTGATATGATAACTCGAATCAAAATATGAATAACCTTGTCTTTAGAAAGTGTAGTCACTACCTAACAATATAGTTAGTCTGCGTTGGTGAATGAAAGACCCTAGAAAGAAGCGATACATCCTATGGCATAGGTGTTACCGTCTCTTATTAATTATTATGATAAATCAGTGCATGAAGATGTCGATCATATATTATATTTGGATACTTTGATGGAAAACGCGGTTTCTTGAATTTAAATGTGACATGTACTGAAATAGAGGATAGTACTTAATAGAGTGAACCATTTTCTTTAGTGTCATTTAAAGCATGCCATTAAATCTTCAGCTACCTTTCAATATCAACAAATCTTTTTCTGTATTATCAGCATTTACAATATATAGTTTTCTAAATTATTTCATTTAATTATAACAGGTAAGCCCAGAGTTATATGGTGACAATTATCCAAGGTTCTTCACCTATTGGACTGTAAGTATTTTTAATTCATTGACATCATCTATTAATTCAAGTAAAACTATAACCAACTAAGGTTGGGGTGGAGTGTTAACTGTTAAGTATTTCTTCATATCCTTAATCAGTGATCTCGGGTTCGAGCCCATTGGGTACAGAGTCGCCTCTGTTAGGGAGTGTTTTAAGTGGGACTTCCTGGTGTGAATTCTGATTTAATCAGGCAAATCATAAAAAAATAAAAATTAAAGTAAAACTATTGAATTATTTATTAATTTTTGTTTAAATGATTTATTTTTTCAGAGTGATGCATACCAAGCCACAGGATGCTATAATTTATTGTGTTCAGGATTTGTTCAGACAAATAATAGAATAGCAATTGGGGCAGCAATTTCTCCAACATCCTCTTATAATGGTGGTCAATATGATATTAGCATCATGATTTGGAAGGTAATTACATTTCTCTATACAACAGAAAGAAATAAATTGGGGCTTTACTTGCACTTTAATTCGTACGATTTTTTCAAAAGGCCAAATTTTATATTTTATATATGTAGGTTTTTTTTTAAAAAAAATTTGATGTGGAAATTAGTTCACGGGTCTAAAAAATCTCCCTTTGAACTAGCACCGACCCAATAGACAATGGGTAAAAAGACCTTATAGCCACACCCCTACGCCGTCACTCTGTCATCTTTACTCGTCTAACTGAATCATTGACTCTTATACAACTAGTTGTTGCGGACCAAAATAGTTTCAAGATACTCTTACATGGTGTGATATTGTCCGCTTGGATAAAGGCGCACGATTTTTCCAAAAGGCTTCAAGAATTCTACACCTTATATATGAATATATGAATAGTTTCTTTTCCTTTTCAACTTCCAATGTGAGGAATTAATTCGCGCACCCAACATAAACATCATTTCTAAATATCTCCTTTATTTCTTCCAAAAACACATTTTCATTAATTTCTTAGCAATTCTTTTCCCCAATGAAATGTGTTTTAAATTAAAATTAAGCAACTAAGGAGGTTCATTTTAAAGGGGTACTAATCTTTAACTAAAATCGATGTTATTGTCTTCTCTCTTTTTCTTTTTCTTTTCTTCTTGCCTTTTCTTTTAATCTTCTCTTCATACTTTTATCTTTTAGTTTTATTCATACTAGAAAATGCAAAATGACTATTAATCATTTAATATATGTGATTCATCAAATAAATTTTGCTTTATTAATCAAAAATAAAAGAACTATAATGGTTAAAATAAAAGAATGAAAAAGGAAAAAAGAAAAAGTATTTGACATGAATTTACATCATGCTTGCATGTGTATGTATTAATTTTTACCTAAGGTGGAATCTTAAAGTTTCATTCATCGTATTTTTTTTTTCAGTGGAAACAATCATTTTGTTTGTGCTTTTAATTTTTTCCCCCACTTTGTAAGATTCTCTTAGACTCTTCTTTACCAAGCAAAAGCCTTCTCTGACCCATCCACTTGTTATTATTTTTCACTTTATAATTAGCTCTCTAAATCTCAAATTGTATTTTTAGTTAACCTTGCTTTAATTATCAAATTAATTTGTGGCATTAATTCCAATTAAAAAACTTTCTTATTTCTCTTTTTACTAAAACACGATCAATTAGGCCTCTTTATATGTACGCAAAATACCTAATAAGTTTGGCATACATTCTACTTTTCTCAGCTCCTTCTTCAGACTCTATTTGTGAGATTATATTGAATATATTGTTGTTTCTCACCCTTGAACCATGAACTCTTTATATGTTTGTTAGTAGATTGTAATGAAATAGGCTAAGACGTTTGGTCTTGTTTCATTATGATTTTTTTTTTTTAAAATAGTTTTTTTTCTTCAAAATGACAGATATTTGAATAGTTGTGTTTGACCATAAATGCAAATTAGAGTTGTTTTTGAACTTTTTATAATTAATTTGGAGTGGAAAACATGAAAACACATTATTGTTGTTTTTTGAATTCTTGAAAACTCTGAAATTCAGTTTCAATTTGAATTTCAAAATTTTATGATCAAATGTGTTTTTCAAAGTTCAACTCCAAAAAAAATGTAAATTTTGATACTATGAGGGTCATTAATCATGCGTAGTACATACCCATAATTAGCTATTTTACTGAGACTATGATAGGTGTTACAAGCTGCTTTTTACGTACAGGTTAAGAAAAATAGCTGAAAGCGCACTCACACATTTACAATTATTTGTTGTATGCAGGATCCAAAACATGGACATTGGTGGTTAGAATTTGGATCAGGAGTATTAGTAGGATATTGGCCATCATTTTTGTTCACACATCTTAGAGGTTCAGCAAGTATGATACAATTTGGAGGTGAAATAGTGAATAGTAGAGGAAATGGATTTCATACATCAACACAAATGGGAAGTGGACATTTTGCTGGTGAAGGTTTTGGAAAAGCATCTTATTTTAGAAATTTACAAGTGGTTGATTGGGATAATAGTTTAATACCATTATCTAATCTCAAAGTATTAGCTGATCATCCTAATTGTTATGATATTCAAGGTGGGATTAATCGTGTTTGGGGTAATTATTTTTATTATGGTGGACCTGGTAGAAATCAACGTTGTTCTTAAAATTAAGAGGGTGGGGGTGGGGGGGAGGGTACATGTTTTTTTTTTATTATTATTCTTTACATTTGTATTGTTAAGTCAAATTAACAAGTGGTTCATCAAAATTAGTTGTTATACCACGTTTAAGTAGGGGAGTTGTGTAAATTGGCAAAGGAAATAGTGAAAAATTTATATATAATATGCTTTTTTGATGTGTTAGTTTATATATGTTCTATTTATTTTGTCGTATCAAATGAAGAGTGTTATTTTCCAATTCAATACGTCTACCACCAAATGATGCGGTGTAATAGATGAAATTGTTTTTTTTTTTATAACTAAAGGTCTCAGGTTTGAATCTTGGATATGAATTTTTTTTTATAGGAAGCGATACCACATGAATGGGACCCCTACTCAGTGTGGATCTGAATTAGTTGGGCTCGAATGCAGATATAGTACATCGGATGGAAAACTAAAAAAATATATTTTATGTAGATTATGAATTTTTAAATCTTTATTTAAAAAAAATATATAAAATAAAATCTTATCTATGTCAAATTCAGTTCTGATAGTAGGTTAATTGACTTTATCCATCCATAAAAGAAAAGTGATAAATATATAACCCCTTTTTTTTTTTTTCTTTTTTTTTTTTCCTCTGGGACCCAAAACCCAAGTAGGGGAGTTGTGTAAATTGGCAAAGGAAATAGTGAAAAATTTATATATAATATGCTTTTTTGATGTGTTAGTTTATATATGTTCTATTTATTTTGTCGTATCAAATGAAGAGTGTTATTTTCCAATTCAATACGTCTACCACCAAATGATGCGGTGTAATAGATGAAATTGTTTTTTTTTTTATAACTAAAGGTCTCAGGTTTGAATCTTGGATATGAATTTTTTTTTATAGGAAGCGATACCACATGAATGGGACCCCTACTCAGTGTGGATCTGAATTAGTTGGGCTCGAATGCAGATATAGTACATCGGATGGAAAACTAAAAAAATATATTTTATGTAGATTATGAATTTTTAAATCTTTATTTAAAAAAAATATATAAAATAAAATCTTATCTATGTCAAATTCAGTTCTGATAGTAGGTTAATTGACTTTATCCATCCATAAAAGAAAAGTGATAAATATATAACCCCTTTTTTTTTTTTGCTTTTGTTTTATGCCTCTGGTACCTAAAACCATCCAATTAATGAAGATATGGACAGCGTTGACACTTTGACACACAAGAGGTTGTTTGATTGATCATTAGAGTTACATAACGTTATTAATATATGGATTAGTTACGAATAGTTTAATTTTTTATTTATATATGATTCTAAAATGATAATTAAACACCACACTTGATCATATGTTTGAATTGTAATTTTGAAATTATAATTTTTAGATTAATTTTTTTCTTTTGAGAAGTGGAATAAAATGACATTAAGTTTGATGGGATAATAAGGTGGGGATATCCCGTATTATGTTTAGAATTAAATTGATATTTTATTTGGTTGAAGATATAAATTTATTCCAAACTTAATTCTCACCTTATTCCATGAACCAATAAAACCCTAAGACTACACTAATAATGATAAGATACCCTCTGTTTGAATTTATTTATTTATTTGATTTTGATTTGATACGGAGTTTAAGAAAAATAAGAAAGTCTTTTGAATTTTATGATCTTAAACGAAAGATATGTAAAATGTATCAAAATATCTTTTAATTTTGTGATTTAAATATGTCATTATGAAAAGTTAAAATTTAAAAATTGCCAAAAGAAAGATGTTTTTTAAAGCAAACTAAAAAAAAGAAGTAAAACAAATAAATTTACACTGAGAAATAGTATAGCATATATATGAGCAATATCAATACTATAAAATCATTACATAAGAAGTAGTAATAATTTACTTTCTTTTTGGTGCGGTAACCATCATCTATAATTTAGCACACCAGTAATCAAGTAGTAGTAAATTATTAGAGTATATAATCAATAGTTTACATGAAATTGAAAGTTAGAAATTCTAAGAGCCAAGACATTATTTTAATAGGAGATTGTGTTTCCCATCATCATTTAACCTTTAAGAAATGGAAAGAGAAGAGGATGGCAAAAAAACAAACTTAAATTGGACTACACTTCGGTATTCACAAAGGTTGTCAAGATCATTACATTTCTTTGCTTGATGTACAAGCAAATGTGTATGCAAAACTTAATGAATTGAATAGATGAGTAAGAGTAAAGGAAGTCTGTCTTATTATAGGTCACTTTAAAATACAGAAAAGGATTAAAAATGCTCTTTAACGTACTAAAAATAATTTAAATTTGCCTTTTCTTCTCATATTAAATTTAAATTAGGAGAAACTATATTATTACACGAATATTCTTATCATATTTACTAATTCTTATTATAGTTTGAAATAATTACATTTTATATTACTATTTAATAATTTCATACTAGATTTCAAGTCAGATACACCTGGATACATGTTTTATACACCTAGATACATATTCTTTTGCTACCAGATACACTGAAATAGAAAGGGGGGAGGGGGGGAGGGCGAGCGAGAATTGTCTATGTATCCCAAATACATGCAAATCACACTAGATACACACTAGATATATGTATTTGTGTGTATCTTGTGTGATTCGAGAGTGGTGAGCGACATGGAGGGGAGGCAAGTGAGATTTGTCTATGTATCCTAGATATATGGAAATTCACTTGGATATAGTGTATGTAGAGCAAATTACAACTAATTTTGAGCTCATGTATCCCTAAATACATGTATCTGGACGCACCAAAATCTGGTAAAATTTATAATATTACAAACTATTGTATATCTAAGTCATTAACTCCTAAACATATGAAATTTCGTAAGTTACCCTTTAAATTATCCTTAATGTTAATTTCGGATTAACAATGTATCTTCTTCCAACTAGTGAATCTCAATTGTCCTTATCATTAATTTTAGGGTTTAAAATATCTCCTTTTAATGGTAATTTCTCTAATTCTTATTAAATGGTATTTTTACTGTTTTTATTTTGGTCCAGAATAAATGGAGTTTCAAATAATCAAGAAGATATTAATTTTTTTTCAAAAAAAATTACCCTTTGTTTAGATATGTTAATTTTTATGTAACCAAGAAGTGATATTAAATAAGTGTTACTCTCTCCGTTTCCTTCAAGTCATAATAAGGTTTTACACCATCTTTAAAAACAAATTAATTAGTCATCTATATAGGTACATATTAAAATAGATACAATAGTTTCTTTTTACCAATCAAATATCATAAAATAAATAAGAAAATTACTTATTTTTTAAATAAATATTTTCTATTGTAAAATAAATAAGAAAATTACTTATTTTTTAAATAAGTATTTTCTATGAAATATTTTTCCTGAAAAACATATCCCAGCTTCACACCAAACATACCAAATCTTATGCAGTGCGACTTCGAATTAATTGAAGCCTAAAAAGTAATACTAATATCGAACACCTGAAAAAATAAAAAAATAATGAAAAGTCTCACGATATCTAATTAGTTTGATTTTCAAAAAGAAAGATAAATTATTTATTTTAAATTAGGTTTGAGGTTTTATTTTTGTACTCTTAGGTAGGTGCGCAGTATTGTTGACTTGTAAATTTGATTATTATTATTTTTCTTGAATTGTAACAATAATAAAACCATTGATAAATGTCATTGAAGGCTAGCTGTTATGCTGCTTCTTAATGAATCCACCGACTTTCAATGATAGTGATGACTATATGAACAATGATCTCAACTCATATACTCCCTTCGTTTCGTATTAATTGTTCACTTTGTTCTTTACACATTTATTAAGAAATTATAAATAAAAATGATATTTTTACTAATTTATTTTTTAAAATTTTCTAATATACTTTGTATTTATGTGTCTTATATATCAATATTAAAATTAATAATAAAAGAATTATTTTGAAACGTAAAAGTATTTATACTTTCAAAAAGGATTAATTTTTTTAAAAAAAAATAGAATCAAGTGTATAAATTAACAAGTAATTTGAGACAAATTCTCTTAAAATGCGGACAAGTAATATAAGATGGAGGGAGTATATGTGGAAGGTCATGTGAGGAAGAATTCAATATTTGTAATCAAAAGTTGGAAAAGTTGTATGTGAAAGATAGAAGAACACTATAATAAAATTAATTTTTAGCGGTAATAAATATACATATTAATAATGAGTGTTAAAGTCTTTATCGGCATTAGTTAATTGTCATTAAATCTAGTCGTTATATGTTATAAGGACATTCACAAAGAGTGCTAATTATCGCTAAAAATAGCAACAATTAAATTATATCCATTAATTAATTGCCGGTAAGGGGTGAGGGTGAGGGTGAGGATTGGGGTGTTGTTGGTACAATCCATCCGTTTCACATAATTTGGCTCTTATTGGCATTACATATACATTCTTATAAAAATTATAACCAAAGATGTATTTTATTAAATTAATCTTTTTGATAATACTTTGAAACTTTAATTTTATAACTATTAATTTATATAATTATTTAATATTACATATGAACATTAAAAAAATATTATAGAATTCTCTTAATTTCATAAATAAAATAATTATTTTTTATATCGGGTCAAGTAATATAAAACAAAGGAAGTATATAAGTATATATCATTTCACGAGGATACGAAGTTCGGATTGACATCAATTTGTCATTTGTGATGGTCCAGGACCATTAATTGCATTGGTGAAGGTTGATTGATCATTTGATATAACCTATGGAAGTTATATCAAAATACATTTTTCATTTGAGGGTGACTTCTCATACATCTTTGCACGTATATACATAATACACTAATGATAATAATTTCAAGGAAAAGGCACTAGTATTTCCTAGACTATGACTGAAATCGTAGAGACGTATCTTAACTAAACTATTAAATTCATTTTTTTTGTAATTTTGTACACCATTCTAGCTTACGTGGCATCTAAATATCTCTCACGCGCCTCAATTGCGTGGAATCACGAAGTGTGCCCACTTAAGACAAAAGGTGTACAAAATTACAAAAAAAAAAAAGA